TCCCCTGGCCGGTGAACACATGCCTTACCTTTGCGTGGAGTAGCACGCCACCTTCCCGTGAAGATGTGAGGGTTCGTACGACTTCTGACACCATGTTGTTGGGGCCGCTGGCCCCCGCGGTCCCTCCTTGCTGCTCGCCGACGGCAGGGGTTCCATCGTTTGCCGACCCCTCGCTGGTCTGCGACCAGCTGCTGCCGTCGCTGGGCTCATCACCCGACGGCTCCCTTCCCTGGTCCGCCCCTCCGCGAGCTTGTGTGAGAGGCATAGCTCGTCGTCCGCTTTCGTTCACCTGTAAACGCTGCGTTGTCTCTCCGCCAAGCACATGCTCTAAACGGGGTCAGGGTTCGGAGGGCGAACGACGCTGTCCTCACACCGCGTGAGTCCCTGCGGCGATAGACGGAGTGGGTACCTGCTGACGCACCGACTTCCCCCCATGCTACGAGCGCACACACCTGCACACAGCACCACGCGCTTTCACTCACTCGTAAGACCACTCGAGGCTGCGCTGGGTTATTAATGGTTCATTCTCGGCGACTGCGCTTTACTGTTGGGTCAGTATCGATCGGCGTGGCAGGCCTACGTTATCGTCCCTGGGTCTGTACCCGATCTATCGGAGGGATATGTTCTAGGTGGCTCTGAACTCTCTAGTCTCTTTCCCAATACCCCCTTTCCACTTACTCACGATTAGGTGCTCATGGCGTTCGCTGATCCCGTCCTCACTGCGTACCTCGATGCGTCGCACGGACGTCCGAGTCGCTGGGCTGGAGAGCGTCTCGTGGCCTGACTCCGGAGCAAGAGAGCCTCTACCTCGCTACATCCGCTTTTTATGCTATCTCCCCATCCCAGGGTCCCGCCTCCCCAGCCCTCTTCGCTCTTGCGGCCCTTATGCACGGCGCGCATTCTAAATTAGTCCCATTCTCATGCTCCTCCATAATAATCTTTATGCGTGGCGCGTATTCAAATTAGTCCCATTCTCATGCCCCTCCATAATAATGGGTGGTCGGCTTGACCGCGCCGGTGCACGGCGCCTTTGTCATGCCAATTAGCCATCTCGCTCCTCCTCTGCCTGCCTCGTCAATACGTGTGTGTGTGGGAGTGCGTTTCAACCGCGGTGGCCGAGTGGCCCCTCGCCGCGACCATGCAATCTTAATGCCGGTCACAGCGCCGCGGTGCGAATTAGCATCGGGGGAGGTCATCCAATTCCCTGGCCGCAGGAAACCGTGAAGATTATTCCGGTAAGGGCTTCTCGGGTGAAAACCGGTCAGCCGGGTGACCTCCCCTCGGAGCTCTATGGGGGGGGGAAATGCGTGCGGGTGTGTTTATGTGGGGGGCGGTGAGGGGGAAGCGGGTTGGCTCCGTCGCTTGGTGGTGGCGAGGTCGTAGATGGGACGCCCGCCGAGCGGCTTCGTGGCGGCAGCATCACAACTGCCTCCGTGGGCTCTGCATTCTGGTGGGATAGGGATGGCTTAGTGACGTGTTTGTTGTTGTGGTTTGTTGTCGTGTTTGTTGTCGTGTTTGTTGTCGTGTTTGTTGTTGTGTTGTGTTTGTTGTTGTGTTTGTTGTTGTGTTGTGTTTGTTGTTGTGTTTGTTGTCGTGACCTTCTACCACTGGACGTCTGTGGGAAGAAAGAGCTTGAAAGCTCATCGGAGTCCTCCTGCCGGAAAAATTCCGATTCTGATTCTGACTTTTGAGATTCACTCCTCTATCCCCCGTGCCCCCCCCCCGTGCCCCCCGTGCCCCCCCGTGCCCCCCCTTGACCCCCCCCGTGCCCCCCCGTGCCCCCCCCCTGTGCCCCCCCCCCTGTGCCCCCCCCCCCTGTGCCCCCCCCCCTGTGCCCCCCCCCTGTGCCCCCCCCCCCCACAGACGTGGCCTACAAGCAGAACGTGGAGCTCATTGAGAGGACGCGGGTCGAGTGGGAGATGGTCCACGAGCGAGCCACCGTGGTCAGCCCCATGTCCCCCCCCCCCCCCCATCGCCCACTGTCATCGTTGTACCGCACTTCTATGTCGCCCTCCTGGGGCTCGCTCCGCCGGCCTCGAGCGGGTGCGCTGAATGTTCGTGCTCACCGCTGGGAGACGCGGTGGCGAGGAGATGTTAACTACCTCGCCTGGTATACAGGAGGTCGTGGGATCCATCCCAACCCTGATGACGCCTGCTGTATATTTGGAGTTTGCGTGTCTCTCTCTCTCATCATCACGGTGGCTAGGAGATGTTAACTACCTCGTCTGGTGCACAGGAGGTCGTGGATTCCATCCCGACCCTGACGCCTGCTGCTGTATATTTAGAGTTTGGGTGTCTCTCTCTCTATATATATCATCATCATCACGGTGGCTAGGAGATGTTAACTACCTCGCTTGGTACACAGGAGGTCGTGAGTTCCATCCCGACCCTGACGCCTGCTCTCTCCTCGCGGTCGCGTGGATTTGTTCCCAGTCTCCTCCGGTTTTCCCTCCATATTCACAATCAATGTCCACGTGATGGTGGTGATGGTGGTAATGATGATGAGGCCCACTGCGTTGAGATATCCTTCGTGATAGCCAGGCAGCTTCTGACAAAGAGCTACACAGCTCAGTGGGGTCGCATACCTGGTCAAATAAATAAAACAGTTTAGTCAAATCCCACTCCGCACTGACCGGCGTGGTGAAGTATGGTCAAATACCGCCTCCCGCTCCCTCCCCCCCTCCCGCGGCGTGGGGGAGAGATCATCATCACCATGATCATCCAGCAGTGGATTGACATAACAGGGGCTGCACGTTTACATTAGAACTGCCCCGGGTGGGTCCCCTTAGGCCAAGCTGCGGGAGCTGTCGTTGCGTCCGCCACGAGGGTGTCAACCCGCAGCGCCGATGAGCACAGCGCCGACACACGGTTGCCCGAGCTCCTGCCGTCCTGTGCGTGCGTAGAACTTTTGTCGCTCCGCCGTGCGTAGTGAACCGCGATAATCGGAGGCGCGGTGGAATGGGGGGGGGGGACATCAAACAAACAGATTAAATGCGAAATCAATGAGTTTGTCAACCTAATACCGGCAGGGAAGAGCGTTCCAGACGGCCGCAGAAGCAGCGCGTCTGAAAGGGCCGCGCGACGATTCGCCGCCCACTATTCTTTGTTGGACGTCCTCGATATATCGAGGGCGTTGTCGGCCCAATGAGTGAGTTGTTTACACGTGCGGGAGGAAACCGGAGCGCCGGGAGAAGGCTCATGAGTGCGTGCGAGGGGGAAACGCTCTATCCCCACGAACGTCGCCCCTTCGTCGGCCCAACGTCGTCTCGACGTCGGCCCAACGTTGGCATGCGGTTTGAACCGTCGGCCCAACGTCGGGCCGACGTTTTGCGCGGGGTGGGTGCGGTGGCCGTGCTGACGACGCGTCCCGACGCGCGCGGCAGCTGTACGAGCAGCTGGAGTGGGAGCGCCTGAACTTCGCACGCAACGCCATGTGGGTGCACAGCAACCAGCTGTCTCAGCAGTGCGTCAAGGACGACCAGGTGGGGCCCACGCTCACCCACCCTCTCCACGCTCACCCACCATCACCACGCTCACCCACCCTCACCACGCTCACCCACCCTCACCACGCTCACCCACCCTCACCACGCTCACCCACCCTCACCATGCTCACCACGCTCACCACGCTCACCCTCCCTCACCACGCTCACCCACCCTCTCCACGCTCACCCACCATCACCACGCTCACCCACCCCCACCACGCTCACCCACCCTCACCACGCTCACCCACCCTCACCATGCTCACCACGCTCACCACGCTCACCCTCCCTCACCACGCTCACCCTCCCCGACCACGCTCACCCACCCTCACCACGCTCACCCTCCCTCACCACGCTCACCCTCCCCGACCACGCTCACCCACCCTCACCACGCTCACCCTCCCTCACCACGCTCACCCACCTCCACCACCCTCACCACGCTCACCCTCCCTCACCACGCTCACCACTCTCACCACGCTCACCACGCTCACCACCATCACCCACCCTCACCACCCTCACCACGCTCACCCTCCCTCACCACGCTCACCACTCTCACCACGCTCACCACGCTCACCACGCTCACCCTCCCTCACCACGCTCACCCCGCTCACCCACCCTCACCACGCTCACCCACCCTCACCACGCTCACCCACCCTCACCACGCTCACCCTCGCTCACCACGCTCACCCACCCTCACCACGCTCACCCACCCTCACCACGCTCACCCTCGCTCACCACGCTCACCCACCCTCACCACGCTCACCCAACCTCACCACGCTCGCCCACCCTCACCACGCTCACCCACCCTCACCATGCTCACCCACTCTCACCACGCTCACCACGCTCACCACGCTCACCCTCCCTCACCACGCTCACCACGCTCACCCACCCTCACCACGCTCACCCACCTTCACCACGCTCACCCACCCTCACCACGCTCACCCTCGCTCACCACGCTCACCCACCCTCACCACGCTCACCCACCCTCACCACGCTCACCCTCGCTCACCACGCTCACCCACCCTCACCACGCTCACCCAACCTCACCACGCTCGCCCACCCTCACCACGCTCACCCACCCTCACCATGCTCACCCACCCTCACCACGCTCACCACGCTCACCCACCCTCACCACGCTCACCCACCCTCACCACGCTCACCCACCCTCACCCTCGCTCACCACGCTCACCCACCCTCACCACGCTCACCCACCCTCACCACGCTCACCCTCCCTCACCACGCTCACCCACCCTCACCACGCTCACCCTCCCTCACCACACTCACCCTCACTCACCACGCTCACCCACCATCACCACGCTCACCCTGCCTCACCACGCTCACCCTCCCTCACCACGCTCACCCACCATCACCACGCTCACCCTGCCTCACCACGCTCACCCACCCTCACCACGCTCACCCACCATCACCACGCTCACCCTGCCTCACCACGCTCACCCTCCCTCACGACGCTCACCCTCCCTCACCACGCTCACCCTCCCTCACCACGCTCACCCTGCCTCACCCACCCTCACCCACCCTCACCATGCTCACCACGCTCACCCACCCTCACCACGCTCACCCTGCCTCACCACGCTCACCCACCCTCACCACGCTCACCCTCCATCACCACGCTCACCCTGCCTCACCACGCTCACCCTCCGTCACCACGCTCACCCACCCTCACCACGCTCACCCACCCTCACCACGCTCACCCTCCCTCACCACGCTCACCCACCCTCACCACCCTCACCACGCTCACCCTCCCTCACCACGCTCACCACCCTCA